ACTGGCTCCTTTCACCCAGTAACGTGCATCTAAGGTTCCTGCGTGCCCTTGTGTGGCTTGACAGCTCACTTGTGTCAGGGCCGACGATAACCTGTTGTCTGGGCGCCTGGTGGCTCAGTCGGTGAAGTGTCTGCCTTGGGCTCAGGTCGTGATCCCGGGACCCGCGTCGCGCTCCCTGCTCAGTAGGGAGGGAGCCTGCTTCTCCCTCTGCTCCTGTTCGTGCTCACGCTCCCTCGCTCTCTGTTTGTCTCTGTCAAATGGATAGATAGATATCAGCAGACTGCTTCCCGAGGGGCTGCACCGTTTTGCATTGCCATCAGCAACCACGAACAAACCTTGTTTGTTGCTCCGTATCCTCGCCAGCATTAGGTGCTGTCCACATGGCGCGTTTGGGGCCAGTCTCATGGTGCCTACCGGGCTCTGTTGCAATCTGCACGTATTTCCCCGAGGAGCGATGGCGCGGAGCATCCCTTCCTAGTGTTTGCAGTCCCCGTGTGTTCTGTGAGATGTGTGTTGGCTCTCCAGACCATTGTGTCATCAAGTTCTTTCCTTATCGCTGAGCCTCAAGCGTTCTGCGCACATTGTGGATAACAGTCCTTTCTCAGATGTTTTACAAAGGCTTCACTCCAAGTCGGCGGCCTGACTCTCCACTCTCTCGACAACATCGTTCCCACGGCAGACGTTTGTGATTGTCACTCTCGCCCTGTCTTCACGCTGACGGGCCCGTGCCTCGACCTTGCCCGGCCCACTCAGAAGCCCATCAGAGGAATTTTTCACTTCCGTTAGAGTGTTCCTGACCGCTAGCGTTTGTGTTCCGTTCTTTCTTAGGGTTCCCATCTGTCTGCTTACACTGCCCATCTGTCCTTGCGTGCTTTTGACTTTATCCGTCAGAGCCCATACCGTGTGAATCGTAGTCGTTTGTGTTTTTTTAAAGATTTATTTATTTGAGAGAGAGAGAGCACGTGCACAAGCGGGGGGAGGGGCAGAGGAAGAAGGAGAAGCAGACTTCCCGCTGAGCAGGGAGCCCGACATGGGATTCGATCCTAGGACCCTGGGACCATGACATGAGCCTAAGGCGGACGCTTCACCGACTGAGCCACCCAGGGGTCCTATAGTCGTATTCAACTCCTGGTCTGACAAATCCAGTGTCCCCTCTGTATTGGACTCGGGTTCTGATGCTGCTCTGGGTCCTGTAATTTCTGCCTAACGGCTGGGCATAAGGCACCGGGCAATAGATGCTGCCATCCAGGGGCCCTTGGTGCTGTGGTGGTGAGGTGGGCAGGGGGACGCGTTCCATAGTCCCAGTCGTGAGTGAGCCCGTGTCTCTGAACTGTGGACTCCACAGTGTTTCTCAGCGTTCACTCCCACCAAGTGGGTACCCAGCCCTAGGGGTGGGGGGTTCCACATGGCATTTTGACCACACCCCCAGCTCGTGGGGAAGGCTCACGACCCCAGCAGGGTGTTGTGGGAAGCCTCACGGTGATCCACGATGGAGCTGGGGGATGTGGCCCCCCCCATGGAGGTCAGGAACGACAGCGTCTGTGGGGTTTGCTGATGGCCTACACGTGACGTTGAAGGAGGGAAGTCGAGGGGTGGCCCCGTGCACCTGACCTGAGCGACCGCAAGGGTGGAGGTGAGGAGGACCCGTGAGGCCCATCAGGAGTCAAAGTGAGGACACTGTGCCTCCTCTCAGCCCAGAGGATGGGGCACCCCGTCTCCCACCAAGCAGAGCTTGGGGCCTCTCCCCATGGCTTCGGATCCCTACGGGCCTTGTCGTTAGCATCCCCTCCTAGCCTCAGTTTCCTCCCTGTGCCTAAGCTCTGCGGACTATTCAGGCACCTAAGGTTTGCCACTGCTCAGCAAGGCTGGCCTAAAGACCGCAGCACCTGGTCGCTGGAGTGGGGATAATGCAGCAGGGGGTGCTCTGTGCAGATGCGACGGCTCCTCTGTGACATCGTGCCGCAGGGGTGGGGGGCAGCCTCGTGGGGCACTCGGGACAGCGCAGTGTCTCAGAGTGGCCCCCATGGTCTGTCATGACCCAGCAGACAGCACATCTTGCGTGGCAGCCCCTGAGGGCCCAGGGAACACGCCGCACTCCCTGCAGGGTGGGCCGTGAGCCACCGTGGGCAAGGAGTGGGTATCCCCAGAGCCCGGTGCCAGTGCAGCACAAGAAAGATCGCAGCCACCCTGGACAGACAGGATGACGCGTGGGGCCTAGATGCCGGCCCTGTGCAGGAGGGGGCCTGGGGAAGGGTCCAGGAGCATCCCAGACGGTGGGCGGAGTCCCAGAGAGGGTCTGGTCACAGGAGCGGAGGGCGTGGGGGGCTGGGGCCTTGAGCAGGGGCTGCCCATCATACGCTGTCCTGGCGGCGTTCCAGACCAGACGTCCCGTTGGCTGCCAAGCCCCCAGTTCCCATGTAAGGAGGGCCCGTCGTCGTGTCCCCCGGCCTTGTCCTCCCCTTCTCGCAGTCTGTGCCCTGGAACAGCAGAGCTGTGTCCCTGGGTGCTGTCCCACGACCTCTGCACACACTGTAGGAAGCCATCCCAGCCAAGGGACACGGGCCAGGGCTGGATGGGGCCTGGGGCAGAGCCCACGGGGACACGTCCCTCACCCTGGCCCTGTGTCTCCCCAAAGCTGAGTGGCAGGTGGCGGAGGCAGAAGCACTGGTCCACACACTGGATGGCTGGTCGGTGGCGGACAGGATGGTGGTACCCACCCAAACACCAGATGGGAAGCTCATCTTCGGCAGAGGGACCTTAGAGCACCTGGCAGGTGGGTCCCTGTGCCCCTCCCTTCCTCCTGAGAGAAACAGAGCAAGAGTCGGGCTCTCCATCTGGGCTGGGTAGAGGCGGCCTCATGGGAACTTGGATCAGACATTGACAGGCCCACCGTGCGCCTCTGACAACTTGCACTGTGCCCCGTGGTGCCGTCGGCAGTTAGGAGTAGGGTGGAAACCGTCCCCGAGGCCCCCAGTCCAGCTCCCTTTCCAGACAGCGCGTTGGGTGTGAACCCAGCCTTCCACAGACCCCCCAAGGGTCTCCAGCCCCAACTGACATCAGCTCACCATAGAGATCAGCAAGCCGAGCCCTGCAGATACGCCCAGAGGGGTGCGCGCTGCCCGTCCATGTCAGCCCGGGTCTTAGCCCCGCTCAGTCCCTGTGGGGTTGTGCGACCGCCATGTGTCTGCAAGACCCACACCCCTGCAGGTGGACCCCAGTCCTCCCCTTGACGCCTGTCCGGCACACCCGACTTCCCTAATATGCGCACAGAGGGTTGAGGGTGTCCTGGGCACAGCCAACCAAAGCTGAGGGTCAGTCCCACGACGGACTCCACGGAGCACAGACATCTGAGGGGACCTTCTCTTCTCCCCAGAGAAGATCAGAGGGTCGCCAGAAATCACAGCGGTCTTTCTGAATGTAGAGAGGCTGGCCACGCCCACCAAGGTATTTGGGAGTCTCGATGGGCTGGGGGAGTGGGGTCAGCATCCCGCTGGGACGGGACAGCTAAGGATAGGGGATTGCGGACAGTGTCACAGCCGCCCCCTCACCCGAGGTACCACTGCAGATGCCTTCACTCACTCCCTCTCCCTGCCTTTCCAGAAGGACCTGGAAGCCACCTGGGGCGTGCAGGTGTTCGACCGATTCACGGTTGTCCTTCACATTTTCCGCTGCAATGCCCGGACCAGGGAAGCGCGGCTGCAGGTGGCCCTGGCCGAGCTCCCCCTTCTCAGGTACTTGGCACACCACCAGCTGTCACAGCCGACAGCAGAGCCTCTTCTCGCAGTTGTGTGTCTGACTTCGCCATCACCCGGAGCGTAGTGAAGACGGAATGCAGGGCTGGCCACGCCCTCCTGGACAGCTTGGCTTGTCCGGTGCCATGTCCCAGCAGCATGCCTGCCAGGGCACGTCACCCCACTGTGGGACCCTCCACCCATGGTGAAGAAGGCCCAGGTGGGAGGGAAGACCACCCCGCCTTGCTCTCTCCACCCAGAGTTCTCACCCTCACTTGTCTGTGTTGGCACCTGCTCTGCTGTCACTGCATGGACATGTGTGTCTGCTGAGATGCCCCCTTTCCACGGCAGGTCCCACCTGAAAAGGAGCATTGTCCACCCGGAGGGACGAGGAGGGGGCTCGCGCTACATCATGGGGTCAGGTAACATGTGAGGTCAAGGGGTGCTAAAGGGAGGGGGGGATGTCACAGCAGCTACCCCTGGGAAGAGGACGTTGCGGAAAGATCCCAGTGGGGCAAGGGCCGCATGTGGGCCTCGTATGTGGTCACATTCAAACAAGCTAAGGTATCTAGGTGGTCTCCTGGGGCACCCGTAACAAAAGACCACAAACCAGGGCTTTAAAGACCACTCTGGAG